AGCTCTTATTATCTTAACATTTGCATCATGCGATCGTAAATGCTCTTCTGCTTTCGCTTTAATTTGGGAATCCTTGATCGGGAATAGAAGTTCACAATAGTAATGATAACCATAATCATACTTAATAATATCATCTCATGTTTTTCAAAATTTCTTTACTCGGAGTAGGCCTTGGCGACCCCAAACGAAATTGCTTACGATTGATTAACTTAACTGATTTATAATGCTAGGGAATGGTGTATTTTTTAAAGAGCTTTCATGCGATAGTTTTTTGGTTTCGGTACTCTTTTATCATTTTGTTATTTGTTTCAGTAGTTTTTAGCCGACTTCAAAGAAAAGGATAAGGTTATGGATTCGTCGGATTTTTTTTATGCATGTTACCGCACAAATTTGGTTTAGATCCGATCATGAAAAAATTAACGGTACTATTACACTTTTATATGAGAGTTGGAGTCGGTGTGTGGTTTGCTTAAAAATTACTTGTTTATGAATTTTTTACATTAAGTAATTTGTGTACCAGCTGTTCGTTGATAATATGATCACTTCGTTTGATAAGATGTTGTAAATTCTATATTTATTTACACTGTTCGGATTTTGGATAAAAGGAAAGATTTAAAAAAATTCCCTAGTATAGCTTTCCCAAATACTTTTCGTTTGGAACCAGTTATGTAATATTTCATTTAATTTCAATATTTTCAGTCTTTACTTTTAGATACGTGATAATCCTATAAAAAATATTTCCAAATCAAGATTTTTCAAATACCTTTCGTTTGGCACCCATATTGTTCCTCAAACATATTTTCGATTGTAAGTCTTCTTAAAACATTTTAAGTGCAATAATAACAACACCGGCAAAAAAAGGGGTGTGTGTTTTTAACAAGACCCAACTACCAACATGTATTTCGACCCGCAAAATCCGACTCTGAGATCCATTTGACTCGTACACCCTCAAAATTTCTAGTAAATTGCAAAAAAAATGGCGAAAAATTCTCCATTCGCCATTTCTTTATAGAGTAGAATAAACATGTTTAGAGAAATTGATTTTGTATATTCTTGTTTTATGTTTTTTTTATTAATAGTCACTTTCAAAAGGACCTGGTATTTACATTATTATTTGTGATGTATACGTTCCTCAATCACATGGTTTTTGAAATACAATTAAAAAAATGTTTTACTTTAAAATTTGTCTGATTTAATAAATATCGCTAGCGTAGAGTGCAAAGTTGCTAAGTCCCAATTTAAAAATTGTACAGGAGAGGAAAAAACCTCGTATAGCTATTTTCTTCAAGTATTTCGCAAAACTTTGAATACAACATTTTGCCTGTTTAAAGAAAGGAAAAACTCCATACGAATCGGAGGGATTCGATATTTATTAAAAGATTTCGAACTTTTTTGGCCTTAGCAAATTTTCCTTTCATTGAATATAAACGAGAAAACATAAAACAAGGACCCTTACCCTTTTCGAAACGATGCAAATTTAATTTATTTATTTGGCCTCCTATATCAAAATATGATTTTTGATTAAAAGTAAATTTAGCAACTTTTCATTCTAAGCTAGCGATATATGTATGAGTTTTACAATCAGTTTATCGTAAATTTTAAATAGTTTTATTTAATGGTATGTTTAAATGCTTTCGGATATTGAATTTTTACTCATATTCATAAAATGTATGACTCAATTTGAATCCCGGGATAAATCCCGGAATCCCGGGATTACCTAAAAAAATATCCCGAAATCCCGGGATCCCAATTTTCCTGATATTTTGGCATCCCTAATTTGTACATAGCCATAAATAAATAATAATAAATCAAACATATTTGACAAGGGACAAATTTTTCGTTGGTATATTTATTTTATCGCTTTATATTGAAAATACATTGGTGCAACATACTAAGCTTTCGAGTTAAAATTTTCAAAAAGGTGGAAACTCTCCTCAAAAATATTCCCAACAGTCATCTATCTTAAACTTCCTTAATTTAATACCTATATTTTAATAAGTCATAATTTAGTTCAATTTTCAAACAGGTGGCAACCCTCCTCAAATATATTTTCGGCCGTAAACCTTAATATTGAAATACTTCATTTANGCATTGCAATATTTAATTTATTCTATCAATTTAACTGACTTAAAATATTTCCAACTATCATCTTTCTATTGTAATATGTCATTTATTTTATCAATTCAATTGAGTTAGATTTTCAACCAGGTAGTAATTCTTCTCAAACATATTTTCTGCTTTAAGCCTTCTTAAAACTCTTTAGTTTCGACACCCACATGGCAATATTTCATTTATTTTGTCAATTTAATTGAGTTAAAATTTTCAAATAGGTGGCAACCCTCCTAAAAAATATTTCCAACAATTATCTTTCTGGAACCTATTTAATTTGATACACACATTGCAATATTTCATTTATTTTATCAATTTAGCCTAGTTGAAATTTTTAAATAGGTGGCACCGCTCCTCAAAAATATTTCCAAGAGCAATCTTTCTGAAACCTATTTTATTTGATACCCACATGGCAATCTTTCATTTATTTTATCACTTTAACCGAGTTAAAATTTTCAAGTAGGTGGCGCCCTCCTCAAAAATATTTCCAACAGTTATCTTTCTGAAACCTATTTAATTTTATACCCTCATTGCAATATTGCATTTATTTATCAATTTAACTGAGTTTAAATTTTTAAATAGGTGGAAATCCTCTTCAAAAATGTCTCCAGCAGTCATATTTCCTAAAACTCTTTAATTTGACACCTATATAAGTTATTTATGTTATCAATTAAATTGAGTTACATTTACAAACAGATAACAACCCTCAAACATTTTTTCGGCTGTAAGCCTTCTTAATAATCTAAAGTTTGATACCCATTTTGAAATACTTCATTTATTTATTTTTGTAATATAAATGATCCTGCTATGATACCGAACAATACAAAAAAAATTATTCAAATCAGTTCAGCGGTTCTCGAGTTTCGATGACCGTGACAAAGGAACTCAACATTTATATATACAGATGCGTGCAACTAATTAGCACCGAAATTCAAAAAAAAATTCACCAATGTATATATCATGATTTTTACCGATATTGTAACGTTTCATTTATTTTACCAATTTAATTGAGATACATTTTCAAGCAGGTGGCAGCCCTTTTCAAATAAACTTTCTACTGTAGGACTTTTAAAAACTCTTTAGTTCGCTACCCACATTGCAATATTTCATTTGTTTAATCAATATAACTGAGTTAAAATTTTCAAATAGGTGGCAATCCTGCACAAAAGTATTTCCTAAAGTTGTCTTTCCTCAGCCCCTTTAATTTGATACCTATTTCAATTATATTGAGTTAAATTTTCAAACAGGTGGCAACCCTCCTCAGGCATATTTTCGGCTGTAAGCCTTCTTAAAAATCTAAAGTTTGATACCCACATAGNAGCACCGAAATTCAAAAAAAAATTCACCAATGTATATATCATGATTTTTACCGATATTGTAACGTTTCATTTATTTTACCAATTTAATTGAGATACATTTTCAAGCAGGTGGCAGCCCTTTTCAAATAAACTTTCTACTGTAGGACTTTTAAAA